GCACAAGTGGCAGTCAAAGCACAACTGGCAACGGCTGACTCGGCCAAGTCAGCAAATACGTAGCTCCAATCATATATACGGACCAAAGTGAACCCCCTGCGCAAGTAGATGGACTATATTTCGAGTATTTTGAAGTAATGGTACTTAAGTGTCAGCCATCTCAAGTTTTGTGACCTATGGGGAATTTTTCTCTATGTGAAACCACGATAGATCCGTTGCTCACATGATGGACTGCAGACACATCACACGTGTGACGTGTCCTTTCCCTTGATGAATTGCTTGCGAGGATTTTTTTTAACAAAAAAATTCAGCATATACCATGACAAAAATCTGGAGGTACGGTCGGCGCAGAATCATGCCGAGGCCAACAGGCACGAAGTAAAATTACATCGTCACGCAAGATAAAGGAGGGATTCAGCTCTGCGAGGCACAAGCCTCTGATGTTGGTATCTGTATAAACACACAAGCATAAAAATGGTTCTCCGGGAGTTGATGCATTTCGGAGAAACGCCGAACGGGGGGAACCGAACCATGTCTAAGTGCTGCACTTCCACCTGGACGAGGGCACGCAGTTGAGGTACCGGCACCAGTGGCAGCCGTCGTTGCCGTTCTTTCCCTTGAAGAGCATCGCCATGCCGACCACATACCTGCACCACAAGTCACCTCCGTCAGGTTTCAACTAGTAGTAAAGTCTTGCTACAACAAAGTGAACATCTGGACTACACCTTCCTAGTAGTTTGTCATGTCTTGGGATAGAGTGGAGAGACTTACCCAACCAGCAGCAAGAGCAGTGCCGCGCCCCACAGAACATACTGGTACGTCTTGTACTTTGGGGGTTGATCGGTCTGGGGCAGCTCATGCCGTTCCATCCAACCAAATTGAGGCCTTGCCAGCAGCACAAACCCGAAAAGGAACCCGGATACGAACCCACCAATATGCGCAAAATTATCAGCATGCGGTAGTATCCCGATCGCCAGATTGATTGCAATTATGAACAGAAGAGTTGTGATGGCTGCTGCCTGCAAGAGAAAACCAGCTCAAACTTGCATCGAAGCAGTGCAACAAAGTACTCCCTCCATATCAATATATAAGACGGTTTTTTGTGACACTATGACAGCGTCAAGAAACGTCTTATATTTTGATACGGAGGGAGTATTATACTAGTATCTCTATTCTGCTGACCTTGTTGGAATAAATGGTCCAGTTCATAATAAGCTCAGAGAGCATACAGCCAAGTAGACCAAACAAAGCTCCAGAGGCACCGACAGATATGTAGTGATTACGTAAGAACAGTGCAGATAGCACACTTCCACCAAAGCCAGATAGCAGGTAGATGATCCCAATGCGGACTTGCAAGTGCGAAAACTGAAGTCAGTGCACAGGAATTTACTCCGTGGTAACACAAAGGTAAATACAACCTATGCGCAAATCCACATTAATGAAACACGTCGACATAAGGAAAAGAAACAATTCTAAAAAGATCATTGACCCTTTGTAGACATGATCGCTGTTCATTGTTTTCAAATAAAGACCAGGAAGCCAAATCTTTATCAGATTTGTGAAACCAATGGCCTTTGTGCAGTAATGCTGGGAAATTTACATGTATATATATATATCAAAGGAAATTTGGTCCCCAGGCCTTAGAACCAGATCTCTGTAAATATCTCCACAACTCCTTTCCTTCTGAAAATATTTATCAAAGGAACTCCCAGGCGCTGGGCAAGACTACTGGAGCAAATTGCAACCAACGTCAATGCTTGGAGCAGCTGGTCACCATGTATACCAAGATTGACGGCAGGATGAGGTGGCAGGGCATATATGTTTAGAGGCGTTTTGCTTAGCATAGTTTCAGGACAGCATGTTGTGTAGTAACGTGTTTGATGGGCATGAAAAGCCCCAAAGTAGTCTGCAAGGCTAATATGATGTTGTTGATCACTTTTGGGTGGTTTGTTTCGTATCAATACAAATCGAGGAAACCCCTTCTATAAAAATAATTTAGCAACTACTCCCTCTGTAAAGAAATATAAGAGCCTTTAGATATAAACATTGGGTGCTGCTCATGGTGCATCTGATGCTCCCTCACCTTTGTAGAGTTTGACTAACTTTATATTAAAAAATATAAACATTCACAATATGAAATCAATATTATCAGATGCACCATGAAACATATGTTCATACTATATAGTTTTAGTATTGTAGATATTCATATTTTTAAATATAAATTTGGTCAAACTTTATCCAGTTTGACTTTGACCAAATTTTATATGCAGAGTAAAAAGAAATGGAGGGAGTATAAGACTAGTGTTAGAAGCAGATGACAGTCAACCAAGGTATCTCAATTAAGAAAGATTGACATGCGGCGAAAATGTAAAAATGGACCAATTCAGTACTTCAGTGAAGCTTACCAAAGCCAAATTGCTGTTCAAGGCGGATTCCTATGAATAGCAAGCTCATCATGTTGACAATCAAGTGAATTAGGCCAGCATGGAGCCAGATACAGCTGAATAGGCGCCACCATTGGTGTTGATGAACAACTTTGGCCCAGTCAAGAGCTCCCATCTTCTCCAAACTGCAATATGGGGTATGCACTTCTTTAGGACATTGAGTCCCTTTATTTCCAACATTTTCAAGATGAACAAAACTATACCATGCCAATCCTAACCAATGTATCCCTGATTCCGGATGCCATGCTATCTATCAATTAGTATAATATATTAAAAGCACAATACAACAGAAAAAAGAAATATTTCTGAAATTCTCACCAAAAAGAAAATCATCCATCCATTTATCCAATAGAATAATGTAACATAACCAGATCTTCATAATTGCACTCAGATTATGTGGACTTGCACTTTTTAAACATGGTGGCACATACAAAATTACAGCTTGATGGACCATGGGCCTTTTATCATTGTCCAGGACGTGAAGAATTATGTGTGCAAGCAATTTGTGTGTGCCTGAAATCATGTACTCACGGAAAAAAATGAAAACGCTGTGCATACCCTAAACAAAACTAAAAGCAGTGCGCATATCTAAACGGAATTCAAAAAGCGTGCGCTTTTTGGAATTTGATAGGATGTCAGGTTAGACAAAGGAAGGAAGAAAAGAAACTAGAGATATGCGCACTGCTTTTAGTTTTGTGGGGCGGGGCAAGTAGCCCATGGGACGGCACCACCCTCTTCAGTGCCTATGAACTCTCTGAGATTTGGATCTTTTGAGCCTGCTTCTGCGCCCCCGAGACTTTGGACTGACCGGATAAAGTCTGACGATGTTTTTGAGCACACGTTACCTACCTTAGATTTTGAGGATGCTGAGAGTCCCATTCTCGGGGGCTCGCCGACCTCGGTCAGGGGAGAGGAGGAGTCTAGGCAGGTGGCCACTCCCTTTCCTGCTCAGCGCATTGCTTCTCCTGAGGACGCGGTTTCGGTGGTGGAGGTCTTACCTTCGGGAGGGGGTCCGGGGCAGGTGGCCCCGGCACCCTCTTCTCCTCTCGCGTTGCCAGAGCTGCAGGTGGCGGCTCCGCCTTCTGGAGGGGGCTCGGGGCAGGTGGCCTCAGCGCCCTCTTCCCCTGGGGCGCCTAGGGTGGCCGCTCCTCTTGTGGCGCCGGCGAGCCCCTCTTGCCAGAGGGCCGGGATGGGTGGGGAGTATGGGCAGGCGGCCCATGCATTCCCCTCCCCCGGTTCGTCTCCGACTCTTTGCCGCGATGCGCGGTCGACGTCGGCGGCGCCGTGGAGCTCCCCGCCGCCGCTTTCAAGCGTTCCTGCTGTTTCGTCGACGGAGGCCGACCGGCTGCGTGTTAGGGGTGAGGCAAGAGGCCCCACCCCGAGCAGGGTCACTCGGGAGAGGTTATTGCGTTTGGAGGGATTCCGGATCCGGTCTCTGTGGGGCGACGGTTGAGCTGCCGTCTCCAGGATCATCCGGAGGTTGATGACATACAGCAGCGGTGCGCCATGAGGGCGGCCAAGCTTCGTGACGTTGAGGTCACTACTGGTATGTCGGTTAATACCTCTAATTCCATTTTGCATTTTTCTAATGAGGAGATTATTAATAATGCAAACCAATTAGGAGTTTCACTAGGTAGTAATGATAGTGAAATTTCAAATTCCGTTAATGATATCCTGGATTTAGAGGCGGAGCGGGCTTTGAAGATGATTCGGAACTTAGCAGCGGTTAAACCCATGAATGACTCCGACATTGATGCTTTGGGGGTCAGGGTGCTCGATAATTTTTGTGCGGATCTTCTACCACCCCTCGCTGAGTCTGAGGGGGAGGATGACACCTCTGAGGCTGTCGTGGTTAGGTCCACTGAGCCTGGTTATGAGGACCGGCTGGAGGGTCAGAACAAGCCTAAACGCAAGTGGAAGCGGAAGATTTACCCGGTTTCAGCAGTGCGTAGGAGTGCTAGGATCCGTACTGCTAAAAATTTCATGATGAAATATGAAAGGAATCTTTTGGAATAGCAGAGGTCTGAAAGACTTGGCTAAAAGAAGGTTTCTTGCAGAGGCGTCTATCGAGCATAGGCTAGACTTTATCGCATTGTCGGAAACTGGTAGAGATAATTTTTTGCCACAGTTTCTCAATACTTTATCGAGAGGTATTGATTTTGATTCGCATTGTCTGCCGCCGAGAGGAAGATCGGGTGGGATCTTACTCAGAGTTAGATGCGATTCGCTCGAAGTCCGAAGTGTGGTGATGGGAGACTTTGCAGTTAATTTTCGGGTGCGGTCGAAGGCCGATGGGTTTAATTGGGCTCTGGTGGCGGTATATGGTGCCGCACAGCTCGAACTCAAACCTGAGTTCTTGGCTGATCTGGTTCGGATTTGCGGTTCTGAGCAGCTTCCAATCCTGGTGGGGGTGATTTCAATATTATTAGAAGGCGTGAGGAGAAGAACAATGATAATTTCGAAGGGAGATGGTCGTTTATGTTTAATACCATCATTGAAAGCTTGGATCTGCGAGAGATAGAGCTTTCGGGAAGAAAATTCACCTGGGCTAACACATTGCCAAATCCAACGTTTGAAAAGCTGGATCGAGTACTAGCTAGCGTCGAATGGGAACAGAAGTTTCCCTTCGTAACAGTTCAGGCACTTTCCCGTGGTATTTCTGACCACACGCCTTTATTTGTAGACACCGGTGAGGCTACCCATTTGGGAAACAAAAAGTCGTTTTTGTTCGAGCTAGCTTGGTTTGAATGAGACGGCTTCTTTGATCTCGTAGCCAGGGAATGGGCTAAGGATGCTGGAGGCAGGACTGCGCTTGAGCGTTGGCAGAATAAGATCAGGCACTTGAGAAGTTTCCTACGTGGGTGGGCTAAGCATATTAGTGGGATTTACAAGGTCAAAAAGAAAAGGCTCCTTACCCTTATTCAGTCCCTAGATGTAAAAGCCGAATCCACGGTTCTGCTGGCCTCGGAGCTTCATGCCAAGCTTGACGCGGAGATGAGATTGAAAGAGCTTCTTCGTGAAGAGGAATTAAAGTGGGTGTTGCGGGCCAAGGTCCGACGAGTTGTCCAAGAGGACGCGAACACTCAATTCTTTCACATGATCGCCAATGGCAAACACAGAAAGAAGAGGATCTTTCAGCTTGAACAAGATGAAGGAACGATTTTAGGACAGGAGAACCTAAAATTATACATAACCGAGTATTACAAGCAGCTGTTTGGGCCTCCAGAGGATAACTGTGTTTCTCTGGATGAGTCTAGGATTGAGGATGTTCCTCAACTTACTGCTGTTGAGAATGATATTTTGGCTGCTCCTTTTTCCGAGAAAGAGGTGTTTGAGGCCATCTCGCAGATGAAAAATAATAAGGCTCCCGGTCTGGATGGATTTCCAGCGAAGTTCTATAAAAAGTGTTGGCATATTATTAAGTGGGATTTGTTGCCGTTGTTCCATGATTTATTCTCTGGACAGCTTCAGCTATTTCAACTGAATTTTGGAATGATAACCCTGCTTCCTAAGAAAACAGAGGTTGTGAGAATTGAGCAATTCAGGCCCATCTGTCTTCTTAATGTTAGTTTCAAAATCTTTACCAAGGTCGGGACTAATAGGCTCACGCAGATTGCGCATTCTGTGGTGCAGCATTCCCAAACTACTTTCATGCCGGACAGAAACATCCTAGAAGGGGTTGTGGTCCTTCATGGAACGCTCCACGAGTTGTTTTCAAGGTGGATTTCGAGAAAGCGTACGATAAAGTCAAATGGCCTTTCCTTCAACAGGCCTTACGCATGAAGGGTTTTGATGAAGCCTGGCGACGCCAGGTAGAATCTTTCACGCAAAAAGGGAGTGTTGGAATTAAAGTGAATGATGACATAGGTCATTATTTCTAGACACACAAGGGCCCGAGACAAGGTGATCCAATGTCTCCTATTTTGTTCAATATTGTGGTTGATATGTTGGCAATTTTGATAGGTAGGGCAAAGGAGGCTGGTCAGGTGGGTGGCTTGGTGCCTCATCTAGTTGATGGAGGTGTGTCTATCCTACAGTACGCTGATGATACGATCATCTTTATGGAGCACGACTTGGCAAAAGCGAGAAATATGAAGCTGGTGTTATGCTTATTTGAACAATTGACCGGGTTGAAGATTAACTTTCATAAAAGCGAGTTGTTCTGTTTTGGCAGAGCGATGAACTAAAAAGAAAATACAGACTCGCCAAATGGGATATCATCTGTGACCAAAGGACCAGGGGGGCCTTGGCATTGGGAATCTTGAAGTCAAAAACAAATGTCTTCTCAGTAAGTGGTTGTATAAGTTATCAGTTGAGACTGATGCCACGTGGGCGCAGATTCTCCAAAGTAAGTATCTGCAGTCCAAAACTTTGTCCCAGGTGACAGTGAGACCGACGGACTCGCCTTTTTGGAAGGGGCTCATGAGAGTCAAAGCAGCCTTCTTCAATAGGGCAAAGTTTATAATCGGTAATGGCACTACCACACGTTTCTGGGAGGATACCTGGCTTGGAGAGACGCCGCTGGCGCTTCAGTATTCGTCCTTATATAGTATTGTTCAACGACGTGATGCTTATGTTGCAACGATACTGCAGTCCATCCCCCTTAATATTCATTTTAGGAGGACGCTTGTTGGCAACCGATGGGAAGCGTGGCTTCATTTAGTGAGTAGACTTATGGAGGTTCAGCTATCTCAACAGCCCGATCAGTTGTGCTGGAAGCTTACTAGGTCTGGAGAGTTCACAGTTAAATCGATGTATATGGATATCATCAACTCTAGCGCCATTCCTAGTTCCGAATATGTTTGGAAAGTCAAAGTTCCTTTGAAAATTAAAGTGTTTATGTGGTTTGTACATAAACAAGTCATATTAACAAAGGATAACTTGGTAAAGCGCAACTGGACAGGATCTACTAGGTGTAGTTTCTGTGATCGGGATGAAACTATCAAACACCTTTTTTTTGATTGCCCGTTGGCCAAAGTTTTGTGGTAGACGGTGCACATTGCCTTTAACATTACTCCTCCAAATTCTGTCAGTACGTTATTTGGAACGTGGCTTGTTGGGATAGAGTCCGAAACAGCTAGACACATTCGCGTAGGAGTATGTGCTTTATTGTGGGCAATTTGGAACTGCAGAAATGATTTGGCTTTTAACAGAACAACAAATATTCATTTTTTGCAGATTATATTCCGAGCCACTGCGTTGATCCGTATGTGGTCGTTACTCACTCCGATGTAGGCCAGGGAGCGTTTGGTTACTGGATCTGTCCGGTGGGAGATGGTAGCACGGGATATCTTCAACCGGTTTGGATGGCGGTCATGTAATAGGATAGGGGATTAGTTTTCCTATCTTTGTTATGCTAGCCGGTTGAGGCCTATTGGCTTTTGTGTTTTTGGCGTTGTGGCTCTTTGTGAGCTTGCCGTTACTTTTGTTTCAGACTATAAGACCTTGTTGAACCTATTTGCTTATTTATAAAGGTGGCCGTATGCATCGTTCTGGTGCAGAGGCCGGGGAGTCCCCCCTTTTCGAAAAAAAAACAATCGGTGTACTGATTAAATTCACACATAAACAATACTTCTGATCACGGTCTAATGTTGTTATAAGTAGCATATTAGTGCATACTTATGCAAGTTCAAAACATTAAAGATGATTAAAGACGTTTACTAGTTTGCGCAGGACACCATGATATTTGTATATATAATGAAATCACATTACAACAGAAAAAGATAGATATGCCAGCTGATCTGATGTTCATGTAAGTAACATAACATATGTGTATAGCAGGCCACATGTGATAGAATTAATAAAGTACAACGGATAAAACAACATTTTTTTGTTCCGGTCCAATGAGAGAAGAGAAGAAGTCCACGCCTAACACTATCTTAGATTGCAGAGGCAATATAATTATGAAAGTCAATGTGGTCAACATAGATATTGCAGTGTACCTACCATAGATATGATTATTTTGAGGGATATAGCTATGATTTTAATTTGCCAGTAAGTGGCGTATCCACGAGAAAACGAATGCTAGATAATAAAAGATACCTTGCTAACTCTCTGTACCATATAATTTGAAGTACTAGTTAAATCAGCTACTGTTTTCCGTCAAACAAATAAGCAAAAGATACTCAAACAAATAAGCAAAAGATACTCCCTCTGTCCGGGTTTATTAGGCCTAAAGACAATTTCTCTTATATCAAGACACATAGTAATTTGCTCACATTAATTCTTTCATTCCACTTCCAATGCACTCTCTCACATGCATGCAGCCAATGAAAAAGCACACATGAGGTGTATTAATTTCCCGGCCATGACACCAACAACAATAGTTTTCAATGCAGCCAATGAAATGGTTACATACATGCACCTTTTCAAAGCGAGGCATTATAAAAAGGGACATGCTTGTAATGCTGAGAGGCCTAATAAACCCAGACGGAGAGAGTACCTTTGTAAAATCGAATTGTTGGAGGTATATTTTGCATTGCTCCACAACTAAATCACCTACTGTTTACCAGTAGTAATGCAGATCTAATTAGTCAATATTGCCCAATCTCCCCCATTTCCAGACTAGCAACTAAAAATTGCGACGAGTGCACCTCTAACTTTGACTAGCGGTGACACAGATATCCAGCCAAACTGCAATCCCCCCATTTTCATTTCGCTTCAAATCCCACAGTAAACACAGCAGAAACCCCCAACTTGTGCTGCAAGTACTCCACTGACAAGATCCCCCACTTTTGATTTCGAAATTAAACTGTAATATTAATCATGAGGTGAGTGTGAGTGTGAGACTTACGTGGCCGAAGAGGGGCCGAGGAGCGGGTTCTCGCGCAGCGGCTGGAAGGAGAACTGGCGGAGGAAGCCGGCGACGCAGCGCGCGTCGCCGCCGAGGGGGCTCCCGTGGCGGGGGCAGTCGTTGAGGTACATCTCGACGGCGAAGACCGAGACGCAGGCGCCGAGCACGGTGGGCACGAGCCACGGCCACCACTGGCGCTCGTCGTAGCCGGTGCCGTACTGCTGGTACCCCGCGCCCGCCCTGCCCGCCTTCCCCTCGCCGCTGCCGCTGCCGCTCGCCATGGTCCCTAACGCGCGCGCGAAGTCTGGTCTAGCTAGCTAGGGCTGCCCCCCTCGCTGGCGCTCCGTGGCCTGTAGTTATAGCAGCGGCCGCGGGCCGGGGGAGGGGAAGCGGCGACGTACGAGCTGTAGTGTGTGGGAGTGTAGGAGTAGTGGAAGGTGGTTGGCGTCGCGCGCGGCTTGGCTTGGAAGCGAGGAGGGGGGTGATAAATGGTGGAGAGTGAGGTGAGGTGGCCGCCGCGCCGACAGTCAGTGACTCAGTGTGGCCGTGAGACTGGCGTCTGGCGCGTCGGGACCGTGGGCCGTGGCGCGGCGCGGACGTGCCGGCGACAGTCTCGGGTTAAGGATTGGTTAGCTAGCAAGCTACTGTAAACTGGACGGTTATGCAGCTAGTAATGCTTATCCTTGGGAGGCAACATCAGAGAGCTGATCTGAACTGGACGGTACGCAATCTTTCTAATGGAATACGCATCAAAATGTGTGACGTTCGTAATACAGGATGTGCGAGACGGCACGCATCCTCAGCTCACGTTTTGCACATTTGCTCTTGTCAGAACCAGAGCGAGGACAGGAGAGAGAGGTTTTGTGCAACACTTGCTTTCATTGATTACAATGCTTACACGTATATGTAGGTACAGAGCTCAACTAACTCACACAGAGCTCAACTAGGTTGGCTATTTTCTTTAATAAGCAATAAACAGCAGAGATTTGACGGGGATGCCGAGCTCCCGCTACTTGATCCAGAAAAAGCTGCTCCTTCCCCTTGGATTCTATAGCTTTATTTACAGGCTTAGAGCAGCTTCAATGGGGCGACCTATTTTATCCGCGGCCGTTCGTTTGGGTTGACGCGGACAAAAAGGTTGGCCCAACGTGCCGATCCAAATGGCCGTGCGTCCGCTTTCGTCCGCTTGCCGCCCCAATCCCAGTTCATTTTTGAGCCTGATTTGCGTCGGCGCGGACAAAAGACGGACGCGCGCGCTCGCCCTTTTTTCTTACCGGGCCCGCTGGTCGGTGGCACACCCTCGCCCGCTTGCTACGTCGCCGACGCCGTCGACCATTTTTCAGATAAAAATGGATACATAGATAATTCTAGCGTACACAAATAAAAAGAAAAGAGCACTACTCGTCGATTTCTGACTCCGACTCAGTAATGTCTTCCTCCGATGTCTCAATGTAGGCGTCAGCATACGCCTCGTCTTCAAAGTCCCAACCCGCCGTTTCTCGTAGTTTCAGTTTCAATTGAGCTGCCTGCTTCCGCGAACGCTTGTCCTCCCGATAGGCAGCTCGCTCCCTCCTCCTCGCGTCCCTCTCCGATCTCAATTGCTTGTAGAACTGGCGCTCGTCAACGATGTCCTGCGGGAAGCCTCCGCGCCACACCACCAAGGCTTCCACGTCCTTCTCTACGATGGCGAGGCGACGCTGCCGCCTCCGTTGGACACGACGATCCTCGTCGGTGAAAAGCCGCGGGAGAGGCGCCAGATCCTGCGCCCGCTGGCTCGACACGTTGAGAAAATTCATATTCATATCCCAACGAGGCCTTAGGAGGCGCCACGCCGCCGCGTCATGCGCGCGGGCTGCCTCCTCTGCGGTGTCGAAGGTGCCGAGGACGAGACATTTCTCGCGAAACCAGATCTCGGCGGAGAAGCTGCCGGAGCGGCGCTCGCGGACTCCGCGAAAATCCGAAGCGCCCAGGCGGCGAATCGACATGATGGCGTAGAGGCGGCGAGAGTGGGGCGGCCGACAAAATGTGGAGGGAGCGCCTTCTTTATGGCGAGCGCAGGCCGCGGCGCGCGCGCGAACCTTTCCCGCGCGCTGGAGCGCCAAAACCAGCGCGCGCTAGGCCGCTACCCCGCGCGCGAGCCTTTCCCGCGCGCTAGAGCGCCAAAACCAGGGCGACGACATAATGTTAAACACGCGCGGTCATGAAATGGGTCGGCCTGTTGGGCGCACTGCCGACCCAAAACTAAAAAAGGACGGACGGCGGGCGGACGACCGATCCAAACGAACAAAAAAACGAACAAAAACGTCGTCCGTTTGGATCGGCCGTTGGAGTTGCTCTTACAGCCTTCATGACATGATCGACGCGAACGTTGTTAGCGATTGAAAGTGAGCGCGTGTCCTCTGGTGGCCGTTGAGTCGATTCGTGTCCGGGTGGTGGCATATGTGCACCGACGGATTCGGCAGTTCGCGCGTCTTTGTGCTTCCAGCGAGCGCCGTCGATGGCCGATCGACCGGAACCGCGGAACCATGCACATGACTGGTGCAGTGTCGCTACAGCTACAGGCATGCAGCCGGTTCTCCATCGCAATCTCCTCCTGTTGGTCCCCAAGCTTATTTGCCTTTTTTTTAACACACCGAAGCTTTACTTGTCGTGCTGTATCACAAGGAATTCATGGCCGTGATCTTTTCATCAAGTTGGTACTGCTTGATTTCTGAATTCCAACAAAAGAAAGAAACTATACTGCTTGTATGCAAATTTTCAGCTCGAAATTAACCTGATTATTATCATCCTGCAAAAATTCATCTTCAAACTTTAAACCAAAATCAAGCAATTCTCAAGCAAACCCGATAGGTCCTGCATACTACTAACGTGTAGTCCCAAAAGAAGCGCCCCTACAGCGCTCGACGCCTGCAAGCGTAAAACCGTGTGAACTCTTCTTGTCGATCAGAGAAGAATGGTTTGGTTATTCAGCGTCCGATGGCAGTCCGTGAGCTTCTTGAACCCACAGGCTGGGCGCCTGCGCCTCCAAGGCGGGCGCCCCCCGCACGTTGGCGAACTGCGCGTGGCACGGCTGGTCGCCGCAGCGGAGGTTGATGCCGTCCAGGCGCACCCCGCTGCACGGCTGCTCCTCGCTGCACCGCAGCTGCACCGCCACCTTGCTGCTCGACGTCCCCTGGATCCTCCTGAAGGTCACATCGCTGATCTGCACCCGCGACGGCTTGTCGACGTCGAAGCAACGGCCGTGGGGGCAGTACCGCTGGTCGACGAGGATGGGGTTGGACACGTCGGCCATGATGATGTCCTCGAAGGTGATGTTGGAGGCCCGCCCCGGCGGCGACCCGGGCCACGTCTTGATGCGCAGCCCGTTGGTGGTGCCGCGCACGGTGCAGTTCCGGATCACCAGCCCGCGCACGTCCTCCTCCCCCTCCTTCCTCCCCAGGCTGCCCACGCTGATGCCGTGGCCCGGGCCGCAGATGATGCCGGTGACCACCACGTCCGAGGAGCCGGGGCCGACGGACACGCAGTCGTCGCCCGTGCCGATGACCGAGTCGGCGATGCGGACGTGGCTCGAGCAGCCGACGTGGATGCCGTCCGTGTTCCGGCTGGACGCGGGGGCGTGGATGCGGAGGCCCTCCGCCGTGACGCGGCTGCTGCGGTGGAAGCTCAAGTGGAAGCCCCGGCTATCCACGAACCGCAGGCCCCTCACGGTCGAGTTCGTCACGCCGTCCAGCTCCAGAGTCTGCACAATGGCGGGCAAAATCACCTCACCGTCTCGTTCAGTAAAATGGAAATGACACAAATTTGATCGATTCAGTATTGGCGGCCGGCGTGATCACCGTCGTTTTGGCATTGTTAGTCCGAGCGCCGCCCTGGCCGTCTAGGGTACCGGCGCCGGTGACGAGGAGGTTGCTCAGGGCGCTGAACGTGATCCAGTCATCATCCGTTAGGTGGCATCCACCCGTGCACGGCCGTAGCACGCCGTCGATCACCACGACGGGCGCGCCACCGCTCTTGCACGGGCCCGAGAACTCCACGGCGCCGACGGCGAAGGTGCCCTCGGGGATCAGCAGCGTCGCGTTGCCGGCCGTGGAGCTGCACGCGGCGCGCCATGCCGCCAAGAATGCCTGGAAAGTCAGTGGTGGTGAGTGGTGACACGGGAACACGACACATGGGTTCAGAAACGAACGGAAAACACAGGAAGCAGCGAGTCCAGTCTGCAGCAACGCACTCACGTCTTTGTTGTCTTTTCTGCTCGGCGCCGCTCCGTACTCTGTAACGTCATAAAGGCCGTCGGCGGCGGCCCCAGTGCTCTTGCAGTGAACATGGCGGCCGGCAAGCACCGCGAGCAGGTACAGCATCAAGGGGACCATGAGGACTGTAGCCATGGCTGTTGGGATTGGAAGTTCAGACTTCAGAACCGCCTAGTGTCTGCAGGGATCTTCGTATCTTATATGTACACCGTTACATACATGAGCGTCGATATTCCATGAATTGAAGACTTCATGCAAATATAAACGTAACCTCCTCCAAAATGAAAGATGAGCGCAATTGAGCGCTTTTATTATTGTTTGGTGCTACTTGTAACTCCTCTCCAACGTAAATCTATTCGTTTCTTCTGCAAAATGCTTAGTGGCCAACGAAGGCACCCGAGTATTCAATCCCCTTTGACGAATGTTGAGGCAAGAAAAATAAACGAGGTTAGAGGGGGAAGTTCCCTCCCTTAACATTCGTTGTTAGGTAGGAGGGGAGTTTCGAACTCAGCTGGCTTAATTGGAAATAGGACGCACTTGCCATTGGGCCAGGAAAAGAATTTTATGAGACCAGGTCTCATGTGAGACCCATTCTGATGGATGACAGGTGGCATTCACAAATCACAAAGCATCCCCCACCCCGACTTAAAATCAGGGGAGGGAGAGATTAGATGCTTTGTGATTTGTGAATGTCACGTGTCATCTAATCTCTCTCCCCCCTGATTTTAAATCGGGGTGGGGGATGCTTTATGATTTGTGAATGTCACGTATCATCCATCAGGACGGGTCTCACCTACTAACCGTAAGACCTGGTCTCATATAATTTTTTTCCTTGGGACAGCAGGCTAAAAGACCAGTTGGTCCTAGGAGGAACCAGGGCAAAAAAAAAAGATGAAAGTGAGGCTTGAACCCTTGCTGGCCCGTACACAAGAGAAGATTTTTAGAGAAAAGGCACCAGCCGAGTTTGAGATGGGGCTCGAGACTAGCTTAATTTTAAATTAACAAAGCCATCAACCGGCCAAGAATATAGATCACAAGTAACCGAAAAAAGGAAATACAACATGATAAGATACATAGCCGTCGAAAAGCAGCTAACTAGCCTCAAATGCTACAAGCTAGAGGGTAAATCAGAGAAGCACGCAAGTGAAGACATCGAGGCCCTCCTCCGAGAACGAAGCACGAGGGAACCAGGACCATGCTGGCACAAAGGAGAAGGGGATGACTGGCATCAAGAGAGAATGTGGTCACCAAACAGCTACGGACCCCGACACGACACAACCATCCAACTCCATCTCCGAAGAAGGCCACAACCTCCTCGCCTGGCTCGATAGGCACCGCACCGTCGGAAGATAGAATGTTCCACCTAGAACAGGAATGGTTGCCGCTGGAGGATGGCCACATAGAGACGATCAACGCACTCTCGACGAGCCGCCAAAGCTTCCCTCAAGCAGAATTGCCCATGGCCCGACCGCGGAGGAGGGATAGCATCAAGCTTGGATGAAGAGGACACACCACTTCCGTTGTCAAACGCACCCCAACAGCGCACACCAACCAAACGGCTCCCAAAGGCGACGCCTTCAAGAAAAACAACGCCGAGAGTGCCGCCACCGCCCACCGAGGTTAGAGCTTTCACCCGGGAGGCTAGAGGATGGTGGGTGGAGGGAGGCAAACCTGATAAACGCCTCCAAGGAGGAAGAACGGTGCCCTCGGGCACCGCCGCCGTCACGGCCAGCCATGGCCGGCCATGGAATTCTCCTGGTCTGGCTCCACACCACCATCCCACCCGCAAAACGAGACCAACGATCAAAGAAGAAGACCCCGACCCAGGCCCGAAAGGGTTGGATCGCATCGCGTCGGAGATGGAAGGGGCCGCCAGATCTGGTGCCGCCGAACGCCGGGGACGCCACCACCACACTCGTGCCAACGCTCGCCGTCCTCACGGCCAGGGATGCCACCACCACACTCGTGCCAACGCTCGCCGCAGAGCCGGTGGCGCCACTCCGAACGAAGCCGCAACCCTAGATCCCGCCGCCCCTTGCGAGAGAGCATAGCAGCAGATGCCCCGCCGCCCCTTGCGAGAGAGCATAGCAGCAGATGCCCCGCCGCCACCTTCCTCGGGGGCGCCCCGGGCTTGCCCGGCGGCGGCCTCAGGCGACGGCGAGGGGGGAAGGAGAGAGGAAAGGGGAGCTCTGCGGTGATCTAGGGTTTCGCCCGTGAGACGCCTGGATGGGGCGGTCGGGGGCTACACAAGAGAAGATGTGTAAGGAATTAACGAGACAAGCAAGCAAGAGATCGAACAATCTCGTTGAATGTGTACCTTGTGAGATGCAGTGATCTATCTAGTTGTACGCTACTTCATTTCCCGTGTGTTCAACAAAAGCGGGCAGGGTGTTTATTAGCTTGAACCAACTCAAGAATCCAAGATGTATCATACGACCGAATATGGATTATCGATGCAGAGGTCGAGGATCTACCCTTCCTTAAACAGGCGACTAGATATCCCTCGTCAGGCAGATAACATGAAACATGTCTATGTCCAATGCCGCATCGCCATCACAAGTTCACTACACTATTTTGCTGCATCTGAAGCTATAAGCAGCAACACTCGTGCGAACATGAAGAAGCCGCTCGCACGACCTCATAAAAACGTTTTGTTGAGAACTGGGCTACAAGGACACAATGGTGTTTCCTTACAGACCGAGTTCGAGTACCGTCGGGAGCGAATTTCCGCGACCTCACCTGGGTGAGCCCCTTCTATAAAAACGTTTTGTTAGAAAATGAATGCAAAGCGATTTCCTGCCTAAGAAATTTACATTGGACTAAAAAAAGCACCGAGGTATTATAGAAGTGATCAACAATTTTTGGAGTAAAGAAGGGAGGAGATTTTACGACTCCAAGGATTCACACTAAGAGAATAGGGGGCGACAATCTACCCAACTGTGCCTTAGAGCATTTACAACCGGACTTCTCAAACGCGTCTCATACGTCCGGGCGGGCCGCCCGGTCACGATTTTTTGACCCAAACGGGCCTCTCAAACGACCCTTAAACGTCTGGGCTGCCCAACACCCTATATATCTAGCCCAAATATGGGAGTTGTCATCCTAACCATAGACATGTGTTGTCACTTGATAACGAGATCACATCATTAGGAGAATGATGTGATTGACATTAAGAAAGCAGTAGCAATAAATTGAACAATCATATGCTAAGCTAACTGATGAGTCTCGTCCATCACATCAATCTCCTAATTATATGATCTCGTTATTAAGTGACAACACATGTCTATGGTTAGGATGACAGCTCCCAAACTTTAAGAAACTTATATAGACGCTGGGGGGGGGGGTACGTAGGGTTAAACATGGTCGATTGCCAAACTAGGGATAAACATGCCGGCGACCGAAGCGGTCCTTGGAGTACACGCCAAGTTTTCGGCAGAATCCATCTTGATCACACCGAAGTATGAGGCCTCCGGAGTCCTTCCTTGTGAGTGGGGTGGGCCATAAGCTCGGCCCATGGATTGTGGGCCAACTAGGTTGGTACTCCCTAGTCCAGGCAACCGTTGGTAGCCCCTGAACTGGTCTTCAACGCCGAGGATGACGATCTTCTTCAGACATATGTCTTCGGCCTTGGAGTCTCTGGCTTGACAGAGTTCCCATCAGTAATTTGAGTTTGGCCTTGAAGTCTTCAGTTGGACAGGTGAGTTCTCCTTGGCCCCTGGTCCCACGGCGCGTTGTCTTCACAAATTTCCCTCGACCATCGCGCCATTTGGGGAATCGAGTCACTTTATGGTCAGATGTCGAAGCGTCACCCTTTTTCACTTTATTTAACGGGTACCCGGTCCGAAGCCACGGCAAAGCACATCTTGACCTTCCCCTTTCGCAACTCAACACAGATTTCTCCCCCAAAGTCTAGCTTCGAGAGCTCCAACAATGGAAAACGACGCAGGTTCCTCTAAGAGACCCGACGGTCCCCTCAAAGGTGACTCGAGAAGCTGCTCCATCACGCGCCTTCAACTGGACCGGATCGCCACCCAAGGTTATCTGCTAGATTCAGATCTAGCCCCAACTCGCTCCGGCTTAATATCCGTGGACGGGCAGATGCATGCCGAAAGTCATCCCATCCCTCACGGGGATGAGCGGGTATGCTTTGTTCCCTTTCTTCTCCATGGCCTAGGGTTTCCTATCCACCCCTTCCCCCAAGGCTTGCTTGAATTTTATGGGATCCAACTCCACCACCTGACCCCAAATTCGATCCTACACATCGCAGGGTTCGTCGCCCTTGGTGAAATGCACCTTGGATGCGTGGCAGATTTTGGGCTGTGGAAGAAGTACTTTTGCATGATGCCTTGCTCCCGAGGTGGGAAACTACACGAAGTGGGAGCGTCCGAGGTCTGCCGAATAGACGGGACCGACTACCCCACAGGCACCCATTGAGAGGATGCCGATACGTGGGTGTCCGACTGGTTTTATATGGCCGATGTTTGCTGCATGAGTGGTACCTATAAACCAAACAGGGTAGTGTAGCACTTTCGCAGAAGTATCCCAATGAGTAATCGTCCTAACAAAGAGTAGAGGAGAGTATTTATGGAGGCGATTCTGTCACACACAAGGTGTCATAGTTCTTGTGTGAAGTACTGCTTGAGCTTTTGCGAATACTATTAATGTCCTAGGTAAACAATAAACTAAAATATGCTAGTAAAAAGAGGATTTAAAGGTGACTACTAAATAAGTAATAAAAGTAAATAACAAGAGCTTAAAATGTAAATGGTGTTTCCTGCAATGAAGAGATTAGGTGCAGAGAGATTTCAGTTCATGGTAAGAATATACGAATTGTGCCAGTGCGGCACCAGTTACCTTGTATTGTACTCATAGTATTTGATATAAACTTTCTATAGGCGGTTCTCCCTAGAGTCATGAAACTCCTCCTTTAGGGGTTACATTTCATTCTATGGTCCCGCTTCTTTGTTACCACAGAGTGGTTGTTTCCACAATTAAGTTCATAAGACCGCAACCAGGCATTAAGTTCAATGGATAACCGTTATCTCATATTGTCTTCGGTTCTCATAGATATCTCCACCTGTCACATTAGAGGTCACAAAGTTCCTAAACAATATGTGTTACCTGTGTAGGTCTTG